GTACCACATCATAAGAAAGATTATGCCTTGTACAGAGAGAGCACAGAAAAGAGGGAGATGCAGGGTACGCCACAATTTAAAGGCACACTTCACGATTTTTAAGTGTTATCATCCACGAATATAGGGCGGAAGTGGTGTAGTGGCAAGTGGCACGCTTACCACGCGAGCGGTCCGGGGATCAAATCCTGGGTCGTGAGTCGCCCGGGCCAACCAAGCCTTCCATCCCTCCGGGGTCGGTTAATTGGTACCAGACTTGTCTGGGAGGATAAAAACACTGACTTGTACATCGGCTGGCCCCGCAAGTCATTGTATAGGCCACATCGCATTCAAACGCCACTACGAATGTACAAATGGAAGTAGAATGCGTGCCGCATCCCAAAAAGGGATTGATCAACGGCAAATGCTTTATCCTTATCCTTTACCATTATCGAATGGAAGTAGACCAGCGATGTGGACTTTTAGTGAAGGAAAGAAGAAGAAGAGTGGCGAAACTTTCTAGAGTGAGGGCGGCCTTTTTGGCCGATGCACAAATAAACAAGGCAGGGAATGAGTGAGACACCGACAAACCGCCGCGTAGATCGCTGCATCCAGAGGAAAAAGCAGCACCACGAATGCAAGCTCTTTATTCAGGCGTAAGGTATGTAGGTTGAAGAGCTGCACAGTAATCTTCACAGGAAACTGCACACATTCACTCCCTCTACAAGTATGCGCAAGCACCCCCTCCCCCTGTACTTGTCATCACCGCTTATCTGCCATCGTCGTTGAGCTCAACGGGATCCACGGTGGGGCGCTCCGGCCTGAAGCTCTTAGATAATTTCTTGAAGCGATCCATTGTTGCATGGTTTGCTACAGACATTAGCTCTGACTATGCAAACCCTCCCAGCCAACGGTAAAGAAAACGTCACAACGGCATACGATCCTCGTGAACCCCGTTGAGGTCGACTGCTGCTGTTTCCGTCGCAGATTTTTCCGATGTTGCCATGTACAACAGAACGCCAATGAGAGGTTTTTTCATGAAATGGAATGTGCTCTTCAATCTTGAGTTAGGAGCATCCGGTTTGACTTTAGCGAAGTACTATTCACCCATTTGAATGTGGAAACGGGTCGCCATCTTTTTATTCGCCCTCTCGCCCTACCCCTTATGTATGCATATGCAGCCTTGAGGTGCAGTAGTCTTCTGAAAAGGTGTTATCTTCAATTACCACGAACCAAAACGAAGCAAGTAAAAAGAAGACGAATAAAAGGTCTGGAAGAACCCATGAGGGTTATTTTGTGAATATACACTTATTTTTCATAGGACCGAATTAACCATGAAACACAAGAGCAGAAATGTTTCTTGTTGTGTCTTCATTGGAAACTGAGATACAATGCCAAAGATGTCATCATCAACATTAACTATCTCTATGCTGACGGAACAACTAGATGGTCAAAAACCAAGGAATGGTCCACTAAATTTTAAGGAGAACCTTATCCACGTTAAGTTGGTAGTAATGCAGTCCTTAGGCGAAATGGAGGAGAGCTGTCAATGTTCTGGCCGGATATGGAATTGTGATGATTCGGAAGGAGGCTTCTTCAGTTGTCATCTTTGTTGACTTCAACCTAATTTCCTTGCGAAATTTTACAGGTGATTACTTAGTCCTGATCAGTAGCGTTCAGTTGAAAAATGAAATATCTTGAGTGGAGGTTCGCTGAAACCTGTGATATTTGATAGCTCAGGAATCGCTATACAATTTATTACGGTTTTCATGCCATTGTTCGTGATTTAGTTATTGTATAGGCACTGGAAGGGGTTAACCCTTTGACGACAATGCGGATTTGCACGTAGCTTGCTCGTGGGACCACGCCTCTTTTTGGCGCGCCCAACTCTCGCTCACAATTGGGCAAAATTGTCCTTCAAAGCATTTTTCTATAGAATTTTGACTTTAACAGTATACCAAATATAACTGCAGTTCTAGGCTTTCATACTGTATTTTTTCAAGAGAATTCCAAATTTGGACGGGAACTCGCGTTTTAAGGGAAGGAGGGCAAACCTCTAAAAATTTAAGTGTCCAAGAGAATTTCCGTTCCTGTATCTGAGGGCTATGAGAAGACGAAGAAGTCCTGATTAGTAATTAATCTTCGGCCTAATAATTTAAAACCCCAATTAATATGGTGGCGAGCTAAATGGCACATTCCAAAATTCTATATAAATTAGCTCTTACAAGGGAGGTCTTTCAGGCGTGGAGCGCTTTTTCAAAACGGTTTTTTGCATGATATAGGGGCACATGCATGGAGTACAGAACTGTGCTCCATTTTTCCTGAACGGCCCTACAAGTACTAGAAAAAAAGCGAAGAATATTTTCGCCAGAAACTGCACTTCAAACAGCTTCAATGTGTTGGATATCACCCATGGCGCTGACGTTCAGCTAGCTGAAGGCTACTATCCATCTGGGGAAGCGAAACAATAACGAGTACGGTCAGCACTGGATGTTGACCACAACAAGTACAGTGAAGGCTGTGAACGTTTCATGGGCGCCGTCGAAAGCAAACGCTGGCAGCGATCGGATGGCCTAGTGGTTTAGTGCGCCTGCCTGGCACTCGAACTGTTCAGTGGGGGTTTATGGTTCGGATCCCCGTGACGATGGGCTTTTTGCACCGTTACAACTCTCCTTTTCCTGAACCCGTTAATGGCTGCGCATAGATATTTTGCTGAGATATGCCATTTTCAAGAAGTTTTTCACGCAATTTTGCATGTTCTCTTCTGTAATCGCGTATTTTTCGTTAATTTCAAAACTTCCATTTATTACCTGCAAATGGCTAACAATTGTGGTAAAATTCAATGAAGCATGTGAAACATAGACGTCTGGTGCACCAACCGCACCGAACGAACGACAAAGATGAGCAGTTATTGTTTTCTTCGCAAGGAACCACGGCTTCTCCTTCGTCAAACGCGTAGTCGGCTGGAGTCGAAAATGGTCCGGGATGCTCATCAACGTACCCTGCGGCCACCCAAGCATACGCCATGCACGGACGGAACAGTGGTGCACAGAACTGTCTGTACGTCTGGCTAATGACCTACACAAGAATGAAATTATCAGGGTTCTGTTCTCACCACTAGCCATAAAGTCTTACTTTGAGAATGTTGTCTCGGCGAAAGACGTCAAAGTCATTATTTTGGTGCGCCAAATAGTCGTGGATGCGACGAATGTATCGCTTGAACAAACGGAAAAAGAAGACATCCAATGGTTGACAGAGGGCAGTCGCACCAGCAGGTATGGTCATCAACCGAAGATCTTTCCCTGGTGGCACCTCTGACAACACATTGGCATGGTCCTTGAAGCCAGCCCAACTATCGACAAGGAGTATGGTCAGTGGAGGGGAGGAAGACCCAACCACGCACTCTCTAACGAAGTGGGGAATCTGCGACTTCGTCATTATGTGCGTCTTACCAGCTAACACCGACAGGTTTGGTGCCTGCCAGTGCCCACTTTGGGGTAAGACTCCTCCTTTTTCGGGAAGTATCACAAGGAGCTTGTCGCCCAGTCGACCGTCACCGTATATGACGGGCATGGCCGTGAAAGAGTGTGTTAGCGAGGAGACAGACTGCACCACTCTCATCACTTGTTTAGAGCCAACTGGAGCAAGAGTTCTGCAAAGAAGTATCCTTGACACAAATGGCCCTCTATCCAAATTGCCCACAAAACGTACCTCTTTGAGGCCAATTCCTTGTTTATCCCAGTCTGATCGGCATTAGCAAATAGGGATAAGGGATACTTCTTCATTTCTTCTCTGACACGCCTCACGAAGCCATCCGCCTCCTTTTCCACGTCTCCTCTACTACGAAGACTCCTTGTTGTAACGAAGCGTGTCACCTTCCTAGACCTCAAACCACTTTCGCGCACAAAATTGGCGATCCACGACTTTGACGCCTTGAATCCATCAATGAGGTTGTGCTCGAAATTCAGCCTTACGGCCATCTGACGTATTGTGGCATAGGATAGTGGAAGTGCTGGAAGTCCAATGTCAGCTTGTACCTTACCGAAGCCATCGACAATTGTCTTTGGGAATTCAACATTGACATAATCGGGACCTACCTCGCTCGGTCGCCTCCAGAACATTTTCACGGAGCAGAGCGGAAAGCCTCTTGAATTTCTCTACCTTTGTCTCTTCGACTTGCACTGAAAAAAAACTTGCAAAACTGGGAAAGCATACTCATTCGCTTTTGAAGTGATAACGATGCCAATTACTTCGCTTCTCAAATTCTCGCAACACGTTCATATGATGCGCGGTCTTGATCCAGGTGAAACGGCTTGACATAGATGATAGACAACGAGTACCCTTGTCAGTTTCTCGATAAAAGTCGACGGCGCGTTTCATCTGTGAAAACCAGACATACCGCCACAAGCATAAATTATTATGTGTTTCAACTAACGATATCTTCAGGAATCGGTCTGCCATCGAAAAAAACGCATTTCTGTTCGGTACATGAGCTCCTGCTACTGGCGCTGTCATCATCATCGTTAGGAGTCCAATTGACGTCAACCCTTTCGTCAAGAGAGAGCTGAAACCAGCCAAGCGTAGAGGAGTAGTGCTCTTCAGTCTATCCAGCGATCGCTCACGTCTTGAAAACAACTAACCTGGAGTACCTCGTCCTCTTCTTCACACTCTAGGTCACCGTAAGCGGCACTTTGGAGAAGCCCTTTGAAGGCATCAGCAATCGCGATTTCTTTCCTGGTAGGAGTTGAGAAATCGGGAGTGAACGATGAAAGAAGGCGAGCAATGACTCTGGCAGGTGAGAAGGCCATGTCGATATAGTTCAGACTTGCACCACGACTTATATAGTGATGTGGTCAAAACTTCCAGTAGATCGCAAGGACAGTCCCGATATCCAGGTGCAGCCATTTGTAGGAGAGTTCGAATAGCGAGTCCCTTCATGCATGGCGTATGCTTGGGTGGCCGCAGGGTACGTTGATGAGCATCCCGGACCATTTTCGACTCCAGCCGACTACGCGTTTGACGAAGGAGAAGCCGTGGTTCCTTGCGAAGAAAACAATAACTGCTCATCTTTGTCGTTCGTTCGGTGCGGTTGGTGCACCAGACGTCTATGTTTCACATGCTTCATTGAATTTTACCACAATTGTTAGCCATTTGCAGGTAATAAATGGAAGTTTTGAAATTAACGAAAAATACGCGATTACAGAAGAGAACATGCAAAATTGCGTGAAAAACTTCTTGAAAATGGCATATCTCAGCAAAATATCTATGCGCAGCCATTAACGGGTTCAGGAAAAGGAGAGTTGTAACG